TCTGCCACTCACAGCCTGCTGACACCTGCCTGGACCTAAAGAATGCTGCCTTCTGCCTTCAGCTAGCTCCTGTCAGCCAGTTTCTCTTTGCAAAGACCCCAGTTCTGGAACTGACCAGGACTCAACCTCTCAGAGGTTCAAAATTTGTTTCCTCTTTGAAAAAACAGTTCTGATTAATGAACCTGCTGGAAAGACAAAAGCTCTGCTACAGTATATAGTACCAGAGATCAGATTCAGGCAGGTGCTTATGCTGCTGAGCTATCTCCTCAGCCCCCAGAAACTAGGTACAAGAAAAAAACTCCACAAATTTTTTGGAGCTATTGGCTTTTATTTTGGCCAAAGCTCTCCTGTTATTGCTTCTTGCTGCTGTTTGGAAACCTGCTACAAGTGATGTAGAGCCAGACTTGCCTTCTTAGTATGTTTTACAAGCTCAGCCACAGCACTGAAGCTTGGCTAGGGCCTGTCCTAAGATCACTGACAACCTTAATGTTACTACTTCTAATTAGGTTTAGTCTCAAAAGATCACATGTAATATGCCCAGTAAAGATTTGCTGGAGAATCTAACAGAGAGGGGAAATGTAACAGAACTCACCCACTACCCCCAAGCCAGTATACTTCAGATTCTTTATTGCGCAGGTAATAGTTCGTTCTTGTTCCAATCGCTTTGGTCTCCAAAAACCACTGGTTCCTGTGATGCATAACTGGCCACTATGATGCATATTTTATAAACCAGTTCCCAATTAACAAGCCATTCTGCCTCTGTACTTCTGCTTGCTTATCTCATATAAGCCATAGACCACCAGAAATGAGGGCTTAATATTCTTGGGAATGATCCCAATCAGTAAATAAATCTGCCTCCCAATCCTGGGTTTTGTTTCATTGTTTCTATTTGCCATTGCATCCGTACCTATTTTTAAGAGGATTCACTTTCTGTTGTTTTCATATTGTGCTAGTTGTCTTCTGATGTTGAACTGGATTTATCCAGACATCAGAATTGTTATAAACCTCTGTTGGAACTTAGTGGGGACATTGGAGAAGTTCTGTGATTTAGAGACAGATTTCAGTGTGTATGAAGAAATGTCTCTACCTAACAGGGACTGTGGAGTTATAAATATTTTCTGATTATCAGCTCAGTAGGCCATACTGAGTTTGGGAGGACTGGGCCTCATCTATAATAATTTCAAATATTTTATACTCTGCATCTATATTTGATATTTTGGGATAAAACTTGTTTTGGGTGCTCTAACTGATCTCTTCCTACATTCTTGATGTTCTATGATTTATTCTCTTTAGCAGTGATTCTCCAATACCAAAACTTTTGACGTGTAGCAATCTGAAAAAAATTTTTGTTGTTTTATTTTTTAAAGAGTCAAATTAAGTGAAAGGTTTGAATTTTTCGTTATGGTAAGTGCAGTTCAGAATTAAATTCTTTGCCAAGGTTAAGTTCTTTCTGCATTTTTTGGTGTCAGCATATCCTTTTTTAACAAATTTTTTAGTGATTCTAAACAAAAAGTAAAAGGCTGATCCCACAGTATTTTGTAATGAAAATCCAAGAGTTTGAAACCTTTCAGAGCTCTTCCTGAAACTTTTGATGTAATTATCTTACTTAAAAACTTCAGGTGGACCCACAGCAGTATCTTTACTGAGGTTTTTAATCCATATGTGCACTATTTTTCTATAAAATGAATGAAGTTTTTTGAATCAAATGTATGAAGGTACTTAATTATATAAAAATTTGACTTTTGCCTTTGGTATTTTGCAAAATAATTTTGGTGTTGGTGCTGGTGATTGAATCCAAGGCCTCTCAAATGCTGGACAACTACTATACTATTGACTACCTTCAGCCCTGATTAAAAAAAAGTCTCATTAGGGAAATAGAGGTAGGAAGATTGCGGAAAGTTTGAAGGCAGACTTAGATTACATAGTGAGTTCGAGGCCAGCCTGAACTACATGAATAAAACCCTGTCTCAGAAACAAAAATAAAGTTAAAATAAAACATTTAGTAAAGGTAAAACGGGGCTGGGGAGATGGCTCAGTGGACTAAGTGCTTCCCTAGCAAGCACAAGGGTCTGAGTTCAATCCCCGGTTCTG